CTGGATTTAGCTCCATTCACCACAACTCTGTCCAACGAGTTCTTAACCCAGCAGAGTAAACCTGTCCAAGCCATGCCCAGTTAGCTTCTCCAGAAGAACGCTGTGGGAGACTCTGTTACTAAAGTTCAGGTAGATGACGTCCACAGCCTTCCCCTTCATCCACTAGGCAGAATAGCTGATCATAGAAGGAGATCAGATTGGTCAGGCAGGACCTGCCTTTCATGAACCCTTGCTGGCTTGGCCTGATCCCCTGGTTGTCCTGCTTGTGCCGTGTGAGTGCACACAAGATGAACCACTCCATAATCTTCCCCGGTACCGAGGTCAGGCTGACAGACCTGTAGTTCTCTGGATCCTCCTTCTGACCCTTATTGTAGGTGGGCATCACATTGGCAAGCCTCCAGTCATCTGGACCTTCCCAGTTAACCAGGACTGTGCAAAGATCCTTTTACTCCTTTGAGAAAGTTGAATTCCATTGATTGTCAGAAGGCTTAGTGCTGTGTAAACCTCCCCAAGATAAAAAAAAGAACCCAAATTCCACCGATGGTACCATCCCCTGAGCCATGTGTTGATCTGGAGTGTTTTCCGGTTCCTATCAGTATTCTTCCCTGCTACTGAAAGTATTAAAGAAAACATTACTTGTGCTCCCGATCCTTCAGCCAGTCACCCTGAAGTCCTTCTTGATTGCCTTTGGACTTTGCTGTGCAACTTTATCACTAGCAAGCTGAACAACAAACAGTGGCTAATAATCAGAGGGCCGTACCAGACCAGGGAGTTTCCTAGTAACATCTCTAACCCGGGCCACAGGGAAGAATCAGACTTCCCTCTGGGATAGGTCTGCTGACCATATTGGACACTCTGTTCCCCTCAGAAGGGAATCACCTACAACAATTACCCTCCTTTTTTTTCTTAACCGAGGCAGTTGTAGTATGTGGGACAGACTGACTGACCTTAGGCAAACCCCTGGATGAGCAGCCTTCTAAATATTCATTTGCCTGCTCATTTGCCTGGCCCTCAAGTTCCCAGCCCCGTATCTATTATGTAAGGGCAGATGGGAAGGCGAGGGAGGCCAGGAGGGGATTTTTCTTGCCACGATGAGCAGGGACCTGCTTCCAGTCCCCTTCATCTCTTAGGTCCCCTCCTTCTGCTTGGGGGCATGAGGGTAGGGGATCCTCTGTTTCTTGTGAAGCCTCCATCTGCTGCCTTTGCCTCAGGGTGTGGCCCCACCAATTGATCTCCCTCTCTCACTCCTAGGTCTTTCAACCTCCTCTTTTAGCCCAGCCACCAGGTGGAGCAGATTGTTCACATCGCACACAGGTGGTGTCACTGCTGACCTCCTGTACGAGCGACAGACTCGGGCACTCCCTGCAGCCAAGGACCTGGACTGGAGCATCTTTGAATGGGAGCTCCGTCTGAGTTGCCACACTCCTGGTGATGGCTTCTGATAACCATTGTTGAATGAGGCACTATGTCATAGCTAATCTTGACACTGTTGCCACTGAGTTTTAGAGCAGGTGTCAGCATGTTTATGCAACAAAGAGTGCTGATGCTTCCATCTTCTGGGCTAAATAAGAAATAAATGTGTCCTGCATCAGTTTTGCCCTGTTCACATCAGAAAGTTTCATTCTACAGCTGATATTCCTGTGAACCTAAAGAACAAAAGATGACACAAACTTGATATATCTTAATTTCAGTGAGTCTTAAAAGACCCTCCATGCTTGTAAGTATTCAGAGTTTCATTAGTCTTGTTTGAAAGCATGAATCAATCCAACTGTTATTAAATAAATTAAAAGAAAGTTCATATCTGAGCTGAGATTTTTAGTAAGATATATATTTATCTTTTTGCAGAAAAACCTTGTGATTTGCCACACATAGAAAATGGAAAAATTGCCCACTACTATTATAATTTTAAAAGTTACTATTTCCCTATGCGTAAAGCAAAAAAACTTTCCTATTCATGCATGGTTGGTTATACAACTGAAAGTGGGACTCAAGATGGAAGAATAACCTGCACAGCAAAAGGATGGTCTCCAATGCCACGGTGCTACAGTGAGTCAGCTGTATTAACCTCATCATTGCTTGTAGCAGGAAACTTCTTAGCTAGATTTCCTTGAACATACAGCAACAGAAGCTGCATGGCAGGAGAGATAAAACGTAGAAGTTAGAACAACAAGGTGAAATCATTTATGTATACAGACTACATAAATGCCTATATATGGAATATTTTTACAATACATATTTTAAGGTCTTTTACCATATGTATTTTATAAGAAATCCAAGAAAATTGCCCTGCTTCCTTATTTTGAGAAAACTGATAGACAGTTTCATCTCAGATGCATATTCTCTAGAGCCTCTCTAGATACTTGGGTGGTTGTGTTCCATCTTATAACCATCGGTTTGATCTGTTGTTTGATGGTTGTGGTAGAGTTTCTTCATTAGGTCAAGAAAACAAGATGAGATCAGAATAGCTAAAAACTCCCTTCTCTTGTTTACCAGAGAACAAAAATATTCCGTTAATTCTTTCTTTCTAACAAAGCTGTCTCCTTTCTTTTAGAAAAATGTAACAAACCTCTTCTGGAAAATGGCTTTTTTTACGGTACAGAAATGTACTTCAAAATACAGGAGAAACTGCAATACAAATGTAATCCAGGCTACCACACTCGAAGCGGCAGCACTGAGGATACAGTACAATGTCAGCCAGAAGGATGGTCCTCCCAGCCAAGCTGCACTAAAAAAATCGGTTGTATTCTGTATTTCTCTCTTTTATAATATGTCATATGCATATAATTCTGCTGTTCTTGCTGTACCTGTAAGACCAAACTGCCTATATTAGAGGCTGCCTAGAGTAGGTTGTCAGCCATACCTCTTGCAATGAAGTTGTCAGATTTCACATGCTGCTTGTTTTCTGAAATGGTGTAGATAAAATTAGATGTAGAAGGAAACGGTATAGATGAAATCTTATTATTTCAAATGAATCCATTTCCATCCAAAATTTCTTCCCAAATGAAGACTGGAAAACTTGTGTAAACTATTGCATTTTTAATTATTCATGACTTTCAAAGATTTTTTTGCTTTGGATATGACTACTTTTAAGGTGTAATTAAGGAAAATTTTAGATTAATAACTTGAAATTAAAAGAGCAATTAATGTTATGCATATATTATTCATTTAAGAGTCATGTCAAGTACCCAATTTACATCATGGCAGCTATTTCACAGCCAAAGAAGAGCTTCGATTGAACGAAACACTGCTGTACAAATGTCATGAGGGGTATCATACTGCAGGAGGAAACACCACAGAAGCAGCAATGTGTCTGCAACATGGCTGGTCCCTTACTCCAAACTGCACTAGTATGTAATAAGCTGGAATATAATTCTGTTTGAAATGTGATTTATCCTACAAATGAACAAAATTTTTCAAAAAGGGTTGTTTTATAAGCCGTTGGGGGGGTTGGGTGGGGAGCTTCCTCAACTGGTTTTCACTGTTGTGTGTTCTCTTTCCAGAAATAACTTGTTCCTCTTTGAGTGCAATAGCACATGGAAGTTTCTATCCTGTGAAGAAAATCTATGAAGAGGGAGATGTAGTTCACTTTTTCTGTGAGGAAAATTATTCTGTCAGTGAATTTGACCTAATTCAATGTTATTATTTTGGATGGTATCCAGACCCTCCAGTGTGTGAAGGTATGTTATTTTTAATAGCTTTACTATGTCAAATTCTTACTAAAATACTAGCATCTTCTTCCACAAAATGCTTTATGAACACAAAATAAATATGTACTTTTTGTACTAATTCACAGTGTAAATAGAAATCATGTGGTAGCTAATGGACATGGAGCCAAGGCAGCAAGGATGGAGGCAATGATAATTGGAATTAGCTTTTGGTAGACTCTAACAGTAGAGCAGATACTGTCTCTTGCTGTTGTTTCTCTATACGTTGTATCCTGGAGAAGCAGGCATTAACAACTACAGGGAAGCTGTTCAGCCCTTAAGCTCAAGTTAAACCATGTTCAGATTATATGAAGGTTTTATCAAGCATGTACAATCCTGCCTTTTGAGGTGTGGACATGCCTCTTGAGAGGCATTAAGAAAATTTGTAAGATCCTCCCGAGTGGTACATTTCAGAGTTTTTAGGCTTCACCAAATTCTGTGTGTTTTCAACACAATTAACTAGAATGGGTTGACCTGAGGACAGAAACACACCTTTAGCAATTACTATCACTTTCCCAATCATTAGGGGATAATGGATGTTCTCAGAAGAGAAAGAACCAGATGAGATATAGTGTACAGCAGATGAGATACAATATACAGCAGAAAACAGTACAAATTAACATTTGGGCTAGCTGAGAATTTATAACATGGTTCAACATTCCTTGATAGTTGTGGGTCATTGTCTTACCTAGTTATTGTCCCCTTTATGAGGATCACGTGAGCTTAAGGAGATCTCATTGCCTCATGGTAACACATTATCTGCGTTATCATAGAATCATAGAATGTATTGGGTTGGAAGGGACCTTTAAAGCTCATCCAGTCCAATCTCCCTGCAGTAAGCAGGGGCATTGTTACTAGATGAAGTTGCTCAGAGCCTCATCAAGCCTGACCTTGAATATCTCCAGGGATGGGGCTTCCACTACTGCTCTGGGCAACCTGTTCCAGTGATCTACCACCTTCATGTTGAAGAACTTTTTTCTAATATCCAACCTAAATCTACCATTTTCTAGTTTAAAACCATTACCCCTTGTCCTATTCCTACATGCCCTAGTGAACAGTTCTTCCCCTGGATTTCTTATAGGCACCTTTCAGGTACTGGAAGGTCACTATAAGGTTCCCCCCAGAGCCTTCTCTTCTCCAGGCTGAACAACCCTAACTCTCTCTGCCTGTCTTCAAAGGAGAGGTGCTCCAGCCCTCTGATCATCTTTGTGGCCCTCCTCTGGACCCACTCCAGCACTTCAATGTCCTTTTTGTGTTGTGTCCTTTTCCTTGTGATGCAGCCCAGGATGCAGTTGGCCTTCTGGGCTGCATGTGTGCATTGGTGGCTCATGTCCAGCTCCTCATCTGCTAGTACCCTCAAGTCCTTTTCCTCAGGGCTGCTTTCCAGCACATCATCTCCTAGCCTGTATCGGTAATAAGGATTGTCCTGACCCAGGTGCAGGACCCTGCACTTGCCCTTGTTGAACCTCATGAGGTTCACCTGGGCACGCTTCTCTAGCTTGTCCAGGTCCCGCTGGATGATATCTCATCCTTCTGGCATTAACCTCACCACCCAACTTGGTATCATCAGCAAACCCCTGCTGTCAATTACTTAATTAAGATATTGAACAGCACTGGTCCCAGTACAGACCCTTGAGGGACACCACTTGTCACCATCTTCCATCTGGACATTGAGCCATTGACCACCACTCTCTGGATGTGACCATCCAGCCAATTCCAAATCCACTGAACAGTCCACCCATCAAATCCATACCTCTCCAAATTAGAGAGAAGGGTGTTGTGAGAGACTGCGTCAAAGGCCCTGCAAAAGTCCAGATAGATGACATCCAGAGCTCCTCCCTTCTCTGCTGATACAGTTACCTCATTGTAGAAAGCCACTAGGTTGGTCAGGCAGGATTTGCCCCTAGTAAAGCCGTGCTGGCTGTCTTGAATCACCTCCCTGTCCTCCATGTGCCTCAGCACAGCTTCTAGGAGGATCTGGTCCATGATCTTCCCAGGCACAGAAGTGAGGCTGACAGGTTGTTAGTTCCCAGGGTACTCCTTTCTACCCTTTTTAAAAATGGGTGTGATGTTTCCTTTCTTCCAGTCACTTGGGTCTTCACCTGACTGCCATGACTTTTCAAATATCATGGAGAGTGGCTTGGCAACTACATCAGCCAATTATTTTAGAACTCTATAGATCTATATAGAAGGGATGCCAGGTGTTCATGACAGAGGATGGGACAATCAATAATTTTTATTGGCTTAAGCTAAATCTATGGTATTCTTTTCCAGCATATTTTTGCAGGAATTTTTCTCATTATGTTTTCTAAAGCAAACTTAATAATTGTGTGTGGGGTGCTCGAGATTCTGTGAGATAAAAAGTAATTATATTTAGCCTTTAAAAACTGCAGATGTGTAAAGCACAGTTTTCAGTAAAATAAATGTTTGGTAATTCCTTTATAGTTAATCTTGTAGAAGACTATGTGATTGAGTACAAAGATTAAATTAATCTTCCTCTCCTAGAAAATCCAGGAGCATTTAAAATGCTATAGAATCTTTCAATTAAATGTCAGGTATCAGGACCCCAGCCCCGTGTTTATTCTGATGACACAGCAGAAATTTTTCTTGAGTGAGTACAAAGAAGGTGGGATACTCAGGAGAATGAAAACAAGGGCTAAATCTAGTTTTGAGGATACAATAATCGCAAAGTTAATTTGGGGATTAGGAAATGGGCTATAATTAATACTGCTCCTATAGCATTAGAATTCATATGTAAGTGGCTTTAAATATTATATGAATGGAGGGTATGGAAATCTCTATTTCCTGAAGTCCTTTAAAGAACATTTTATTGAGCTTCTGTGGAGAAATTAAAAAATTGATTATAACAGTACAATAGCATAATACCTCTATTTTATTCCACATTGTTGAATATAAAATAACTTTTTTTTGTTCTGGTCTCCCATTTTGTGAAGAAAATGGGAGTAAGCAATTACCCTGGATCAACCAAAAAAATATCTTTTGAGTGATGGTTTTGTATGCTGTATAGTAAAATTAATTGCATACATGGTTTTAATTAGTGAAAAAACAATAAGCATTTTTTATTTTCAGATGTAAAAAATAAATGTCCTCCACCACCACTTCCTCCTCATGCCCGTATCATCACAGTTAGAAGAACATATCATAATGGAGACAAAGTTCTCATACAGTGTCGAAGTACCCTTGAAATAAGAGGATCAGAGGAAATACAGTGTGAAAAAGGAAAATGGACATCACCTCCTATTTGTATTGGTTAGTACTTTTGTGAAGATTGACAACTGACATCTGTGTTGTGCAGTACTTTCCTGGAATACTGATTTTGTTACATCTTACAACACACCAGCGTCTGTCTGTTTTGGAGGCCTGTAACTAGTGGAGTGCCCC